AGGTTGGGCAATCCTACTTCCATAGTGATACTGCCTCGGAAACCCAAGGAGGGGTCGCTATGAGTCGAGGCCGACTCGACGGCAAACAACAACAAGAACAACAGTGTGGCAAGTGAGCCATGGGAATGGAGGTGCCAACATCAGGAGAAGCCCTGCCTGGGGAGAGGAGGGGCAGCTGCACTGTGTCCTTTCTCACAGTTATTCTGCAAACCTGAACCTGCCTTACACGCCAAATCCATTACACAGACACAATCAGAGAGCTCTCCCTTTACCCAGGGACCAGGGAGAGTCCACGGAGCTGACCAGCTCTGCAAGGGAAACCCTAGTCTCTCTCGTCCACACAGGAGAGGGGTCCTGCCAGGCAGACACATGAATGAAAGCCCAAGAGACAAGGCCAGGTGCTACTGGGGCCAGGTTCACAGAGAGAAGGACCCCAAACGAGGCTGGAGAGGCAGTGGGTAACTCTGAGGCTGGGGTCCAGTCCCTGAAGCCAGTATGAGGCTGGGCACATGGTTTGTGTCCATCAGCTACAGTGGAATGAATGAATGAATGACAGAAGGGCTAGACACAGAAAGCAATGGGGGAACCACAGATGTCCCCGAGTTTTGTCCTCAGCTGGAGATCTCTGTCACCTGCTCTGTGGGTCTACTGTCAGGCTACCCTCCCCCCCGCCCCTCCCACCTGCCTCTCTATAAATGCTACTCTGCCCGGGGGCCATGTGTAGGCCTCTTCCTAACAATGAGGCCCGCTGACAGAGGTGGGCTCCTCCTCCAGGTGGTGTGTGTGCCAGGAGGGGCCTCTGCCCACCCAGCACCCCCACTTGCAATTCACTCCCATTGTCGCTTCCTGACCCCTCAGTTACACCAACTTCTGCCCCCTGTGTTTCCTGTCTCTGCTCAGTAGTAGGGAAAAGAGGGAGGGGCATTTTTGTTCCACGGTGTAGCATTGTGGGAACTGGGGGAGCACTGTGATTCAGGTCAAGGGGGAGCTTTTACAAAAAGCCCTGCCTCTGAACTACTCCACCAGCCCAGAGGTGCAGGCCCCAGACGGGGATGGGTGGGGGGCAGGAGCAGGCCCCACCCTGGACGAAGGCCAGCTCCCAGGTGACCTGGGATCAGAACCACCTCTTCCAGTAGAAGCCCCCCGACCTAGTACTCAACACGCTGTGTCCATCAGAGCCTACAACAAGCTGTGAGGGGGGTGCCCATCAAGTCAGGTCTGACTCACAGGGACCCACGTACAACAGAACCAGACACTGCCCAGCCTTGCACCAGCCTCACAGCGGCAGCTGTGGTTTGAACCCAGGGTCCAGCCCCTGCGTGTGGCCATCTCACTGGGGGTCCCCTCTCTTTCACTGACCCCCGACCAAGAATGTCTTTCTCCAGTGACTGAAGTGCCCAAAGTACAAAGGAAGAAGACGGTGCCCCAGTCTTCCAGGCAGGAAAACTGAAGCCAGGGGTCACCGATGGGTTAAGTAGGAAGAGGCAGAGTCAGCCTGGAACACCCTCCCATCCCTGGGCCCAGCACCCACAGAGCCCCTCAGGGCCCAGCACTTGCCCCTAAGCTAAGCTGACTCTCCTTGCCAACGGGGGTGGCTCACTGGAGGGTCAGTTCACTCCGGACTGGACGGGAAACCCTGAAGGAGGAAGGGGTGCCCCCGAGGCTGCAGGAATTGGGGGGAGGGGAATTCTTGGTGCCCGTTCCTACTGTGCTCCTCTAATGAGCAGTTCTTCGGACTGGGGACCAGGCTCACGGTGCTGGGTAAGACAGCGCTCCGGGCTGCTCAGCCTGGGCGGGCCTGACCCCTAGCCCTGCGCGGGGCGTCCAGGCCCAGCTGGGGCCGCAGCTCTGCCCGCGGCGGTTTGCGATGCACGCCCTGGGACTGTGCGAGCACCTCCCAGCTCTACTTTGGGGAGGGGACCAAGCTGACCGTGCTGGGTAAGGAGGGAGCCTGGGGGTCCCGGAGGCCCTGCGGGCGGGTGGACAGAGCGGGCCTGATGGTCCCGGGGTAAGCGAGGAGGGGCTCAGGCTCGCGTCCCCGGCTGGGGGGCGGGGGGCGCCCGGGCGCTGGGGCCTGCGGCCCAGGACGGGACATCTGGGCGCACGCGCCCACTTTTTGACCCGGGCTCGGAGGCTGTGAGCACAGATACCCGGTACTTCGGCGCAGGCACCCGGCTGACCGTGCTGGGTGAGCGGGGACCCGCGGGAGGCGGCGGGGACTGGGGGAAACGGGAATGGGGACAGCGGGGACGCAGCGCCCAGCCCAGAGGGTGGCGCGGGTCTGGCCAGGTTTTTGCACCGAGCCCATGGGCCGTGAGTAGAAACGCAGACCTTTGGAGGAGGCACGCGGCTGACCGTGCTGGGTGAGCGCTGGGCGGCCGGACTGTCCGGGCCGTCGATGCCTGGAGTCCCAGCTGCGTCCTGAGCCCTCCTGACCCCGCGGGCCCCTCAGGGGACAAGGGTTCCAGGATGGGCCGCGGTGGGGCCGGAGTAGAGGGGCTCCTCTGCCCTGGATGGGCACCCCGATTTCTCCTCTGCCTCGGACTGGGGGTCCGGGCTGGGGTCTGGGGAGTGGGAGCTGTGGGGGCGGTGCCACGGGAAGGGTGCACACGGGTTTGCACACGGGTCTGTACCCCTGTGTTCTTATGAGCAGTACTTCGGCCCCGGCACTAGGCTCACGGTTACAGGTGAGTTTAAGACTTGTGCCCGCCCTGCACCCAGCTCCTACCCAGCCTGTGCACCCCATGGGTTAGCTGGGAGGGGACTGGCCAAGGCTGGTGGTGTGGTGGGCCACCAGCCCTGCAAGTTGCCCTTCCCTACTCCCTCCCTTGCTTCTGGAAGGACTTGGGGGATGAGGAGGGTCTGGGGACCTAGGCACAGGGCAAAGGCAACTTGGTTCTCTTTCGGAGGAATTGGGGGCAGAGTGAGCTGGAGAGAGTGAAGGACTGGTTGATGAGGGGCTGGGGGCTGCTGAACCGGAACGAGGCCTGAGGAGGGAAGGCAGGTCTCGGGGAGGGGCAGGAGGGGTTGTGGCTGCTTTGAAGGGGGACAGCAGGGACGAGCTCAGAGGGCAGGAGGCTGCAAGGCCAGCCCCAAGGGGCAAGGGACAGACTTTACTGAGCAGGAGGCCCCATGCAGTAGAACAGGGCTGGGGACAAAAGAGGACAAACAGAGTGGATGAGAGAGGCCAAAGAGAGACGGATAGACAGGAGTCAGGGGAGACTCAAAACAAGCCCAAATGTGAAGAATTGCAGGGTAAAAGTGGGGCTTTTACAGTGAGATTTTAAACCCCTTGACCTGCCATCTCCTTCTCAGGAGCCCTGGTGCCGTGGTGATTAAGCTCTCCATATTAATCGAAAGATTGGCAGTTTGAACCCACCAGGGGCTCTGTGGAGAAAGATGAGGCAGCCTGCTTCTGTAAAGATGATGCCTTGGTACCCCTAAGGACAGTCCTACTCTGTCCACAGGATCATTGATAGTCTGAATGGACTCAGTGGCTGTAGGTTGGCTTTTGGTGCTGAGCCCAGACTCCCTGGCAGGGGTGGGTGCAGCCTGGCCTGGGGTAGGGGCAGCAGCCTGGCCGGGGGTGAATTTAGGGCCTCTCCCCATGGATATACCCCCTGCCCAGACTCCCCGTCCTTGCACCGCACGAAGCACTGGGGTTCAACAGCACAGGTGGCACAGGGGCCCTTTCATCCCTGAGCCACACCTGAAACTGCAGATCTGCCCGGTTTTTAGGAGCAGGTAAGGACAGTAGAGCAGAGAAGCACTCAGACATCACCTGTGACAAGGACACTGGCCAGAGCAGGGACTTAACCCCCTACCACAGCACCAGGAACAACGCCGGTCCTCTGTGGTAGGGGGTCACTAAGCTGAGGGCTGCAGGCTGAACTGTGAGCGCAGTGGGCCAGGGACAGGGGCGGTGGGTGATGCTGGGATCTGGGACCTGCTGGGACTTTGCAGCCGGACAAACTTGGCCCCACCCCCAGCCCCAGCCCTGTCCTTTAGTGCTCTGTGACCTTGGGCAAGCTAACCTGCACGAGTGCCACCCCACTCAACTAAGAAATAGAATTAACCGCCCTGCCACTGGCCATTGCTCCAACTCCTGGATTCTTGTAGCTGGCTTCCCTTCCCCAGGTGCCCCAGCATGGTCACGGACAGGTAGGGGGACCCGGTGCCAAAGTCAGCCAGGATTTAGAGAATGGAGGGAAAAGGAGGGGAGGGCTGTGTTTGAGTGAGAGGTGGGCTGGGAGTGGAAACATAAAGTCCTGATGTTGCCTGGGCTAGTGGGGCAGACGACACAGAGACGGCCCACCGTATACACAGCTGCGCCACAGTCAGGCCCCCAGACCCACAGGCCACCCAACGTGGAAGGGTGACTGAGGAGCAGTACTTCAGGGTACAATGGGGCTCCTGCCTCAGTCTGTCCACTAAGCTTATCAGTAAACATCCAGGGAAGATGGCTTTCATTTTTATGACAAGGACTGTGTGTGTCCTGGCAGAGGGCTTGAAGAAGTAGGTTCCGTGGTGGTTCTGCAGGGCTGGTCCCAGATCCAGGTCCTTGAGACCGGAGTGAAAAGCTGGGAAAGGCTGGGAGCAGAAGGATGGATGGACCCAGTGACTGCAGATGGAGACGGACTGCCCGCCCCCTGGGCAGCCCAGGGAGGGCCTGCAGCCACAGCAGCGGTTAGCAGGGCTGGGAGGGAGCTGACCTCCGGGGAGACAGGACCTGACAAAGTGTGTGGTCCTAGCTCCCAATGAACAAGTGGAAGCCTTGTTTAAAAAATGAGCGAGAAATCCAAGATGGCAGCAGTACAGCTCAGCACTGAGTGGGGCCTCGGAGAGGGGTCCTGTGGGACTGTCGGAGTCATACGCCCTCTAAGCTGGCCCTGGCTGAGGTCCCATCCATAGAAATGGGAATTGTCCCTTAGAATAACATTGTCCCGTACTCCAGGCTAGCCTGGGTGCTCACAAGGACAAGACTTCTTCACTGTAACAGAAAAGGATGGAGAAAAGCATAGGACAAACTGGACAGAGAATCAGCCAAGAAAGGAGGTCCCATGGGGTGGACTCCAAGGCATGTGTCCACGGCCCTGAGGCATCCAAAGAGCAGATGCTTGGTGAGCTGTGTCCAGACCATGACTGGCTCTGATGAACTCAGAGACTGCTAAGGAAACTTGCTCAGAGGGGAGAGCCTAATAGTAGGAGGCAAAGGGACAAAGGTTATGGTGTCCCTGTGCTTGACACAAAGGGAGATGCCTGTGCTGAGCACATGGGGTGATGTGGAGAGAGTGGACTTGGGGTGTGTGCACAGGGTGGGGGAAGATAAGGGGAGGGGAGGAAGCAAGAACAGAGCAGGACCCCAGGAGAAACCTGGTCCCTGCCCATCACTGCACTGGGATGTGACCCCACCCCAACCCCTCACACACATGTGCACACACTCAAATAAACACACATGACAGAACACATGAACACACATGAACACACACTCCACACATGCAATACATGAAAATACACAGAAACACTAACACATGTGAACACACAGTCCACACATGTGCACACACATACAAGCAAATACACAAGACATTAACATGTGGACATACACTCACACATGCATGCAAATACACAGAAACATACACATACTCCACACATGTAACACATGAAGATACACACAAACACTAACACACATGAACACATAGTCCACACATGCACACACACATGCATACATATACACTCAGACACTAACACATGTGAACACACTCATACATACACATGCATGCAAATACACACAGACACACACACTCCACACATACTCACACATACACGCAGACAGTAACACACACTCCACACATGCGCACATACATGCATACAAATATACTCAGATACTAACATACATGAACACTGTCACACATACATGCACACACATGTAAATACACATTAAAACACTCCACATACACACACATAGACACAAATATACAGACACTAACACACATGAACACACTCACACACTCACAAACACTCCACATACACACACATAGACACAAATATACAGACACTAACACACATGAACACACTCACCATAGACTTGCACACATGCAAACACACGATACATACAGTCACATGGACACACACTTGCACACACACGTGCACTCAGACACGTGTGCACACACACACGGCCTCCACCTGCCCTACACCACCACACTCTTTCTGACCAGCCCTGCCCCTCCCCGTCCCCCTGCAGAGGACCTGGGCAAGGTGAGCCCACCCAAGGTGACTGTCTTTGAGCCCTCCGAGGCAGAGATCTCCCGCACCCAGAAGGCCACCCTCGTGTGCCTGGCCACGGGCTTCTACCCCGACCACGTGGAGCTGCGCTGGTGGGTGAACGGCAAAAAGGCCCTCAGCGGGGTGGCCACGGACCCCCAGCCCCTGAAGGAGCAGCCTGGCGACGAGGACTCCAAGTACTGCCTGAGCAGCCGTCTGAGGGTGTCGGCCGCCTTCTGGCACAACCCGCGCAACCACTTCCGCTGTGAGGTCCAGTTCTACGGGCTCGAGGACGACGAGGAGTGGACGCTGAAGGGGCCCAAGCCTGTCACCCAGAACATCAGTGCAGAGGCCTGGGGCCGAGCAGGTGAGCACGTGGGGACGCGGGGCACAGGCAGGCTGACGGCCCAGAGGGAGGGGAGGTCAGCTAGCATAGGGGGGTGTGCCCTCCACTGGCCCTCGTGTCCTGGGGCCACACATGACGCCCCTGTGTGGGGCTGCCCAGGAGGAGGTTGGCTCCATCCGGCCGTGCTCTGGCCTGGCCTCTATGCTGTCTGTAAGCTCACAGGCTGTCCTTCCCCCTCTCTTTCAGACTGTGGCCTCACCTCTGGTAAGTGAGCCCCTCATCTCTCATGTCTGTGGGCTGGACGGTGCCTGGGACCTGGGCACATGGGGGTGGGGTGGGGCCAGAGCCCTCTGCTCACAGGCTGCCCACCCCCCAGCCTCCTACCAGCAGGGAGTCCTGTCGGCCACTGTCCTCTACGAGGTCCTGCTGGGGAAAGCTGCCCTGTACGCTGTGCTGGTCAGCGCCCTTGTGCTGATGGCCATGGTAAGGGGAAGAAGGGGTGGGGGCTACTGGAGGGAGGAAGTGAAATCATACATGGGGTCCAGGGGATCTCAGAGCCAGCCTTCAGCCCTGACACAGCCCCTCACCACAGTGACAGTGGGGCTCCTGGCTGGGAGATAGGCTGCTATAGGAGCAGAGGGGCCATTGGAAAAAGGGGTCCCTGGCCATGCCCTGCCCAAGGCCAGTGGGGCACTGACTTTCCTCCTCTCCCTTCCCCTCCACCTCCTCCTCTTCAGGTCAAGAGAAAGGATTCCTGAGCCAAGAAGGGCTCCACCGGTCTCTTCATCCACAGCGGCTCCTCCTTGACACCACCACCTGGCCTCCTCACTGTCCCCCCTGTGCCCGCCAAGAATCCCCTCTCCACCCCCACTTCCTGCATGGACCCCTGTCCCCTCTCTGCTTTCTCAAAGATGCAACCCTGATTCTGGGACAAACAGAAAAATAAAAATGGCATGTCTCAGGCCCCCATGGAGCTGCCCACCTCTGACCACCATCTGGTCCGGAACACATGACACTCGGGCCGAGATGGGCCCTCCTCTCTGGTGGTGGCCCCAGACCCCAGGGTCCAGGGCCATAATCCAGGCCCCCAGGGCACAGACTCGACTAAAGGGGGGGCTGCGCTGGGAGGCCCCATAGCAGGGAAGGGGGACTGCAAAGGCGAGCCCACCCACTCCACATTTGGGAATTCTTGGGCAGCTCTGCATTTCACATTGCCAGCACACCTGTCTAGGGCTCACCACGGCATTGAGCTCCCTGGGTGTCTGGGTTAGAATGCTCAAGAGAGCACCTATCCGCACATGCTTGTACTCGCATACACACATGCACACACGTGTATGCATGTGTGCACACAAACCTAAACCACTCGTCATCAACTCTGGCCCATAGTGACCCCACGTGTGTGACAGGAGAACACACTAATTCCTAGGCCTTTCTGCCTAGGCACCTCTGGGTGGCTGTGAACCACCAGCCTTTCAGTCAGCAGCCGAGTGTGTCAACCACTGCACGACCCAGGAACTCCTGTGGAGGGGTCGGAAAATGGAGAGAAAGGGTCCCCTGGGGCAGGCCCTCAGGGGAGGAAAAATGGGAGTAGGGACCTGCTCCATGGACGGCCAGGCCTCCCCAGTGTCGCGTGGCTGAGCATCCGCTGTGGTGGGGGGGGGGCAGTTCTTCTCCAGGGATTCTGCAGCAGGTCTGACTTGTGATGGTCAGATGCTACAAAGACAAGGGACACTACTTCATGGGCCCTGGGGAGAGGAGGGTGACAGAGAGAAGGAGGGCCAGGACCCTGGGGACCGTGGTCAAGCAGTCATTAGATGAGAAAGGGCACCAGGAGCTGGAGGCTGGGGGAGGTGAAGTGGTCACATTGGGAGACCCACTCAGCCCTGGTGAGTGGGCCGGGCACCAACACAGGGGACCTCGATGCAGGCCCTAGGGGAGGAGACCACGCCCAGGCCAACGTCCAGAAAGGCACGAGGTCGGCTGGGAGCCCATGCTCCTTCCTTCCGGCACGGTCTCTGCGAGCTTTGCAGAGTCACAGTGCCACGGTGACCCAATTCTGGGGAGGACCTGCAGAGACGGCCAGAACCGGCCCTGAGTCCTGCATGTGCAGGGTCCCAGGCGAGGGTTCCAGACACGGTGCTCAGCCGGGAGAGGGCAAACTGCTACCCGAGGCCCAGGAACGTCCACACAGGCTGTCAGTGCCCTCCGCCACACTCCCAAACAACATAGCTGTGTATCTGTCAGTGCTGTCGTTGATCCGTTGGTCAGATGATGGCTGGAAAAGCCCCAAAATAAGGGGACAGACATTGGAGTCTAAACCAGCACCCCCAAAGCAAGGGGACAGATATTGAGCCTAGACCAGCACCCCAAAATCAAGGGGCCATGTTGGGCCCTAGACCAGCACCCACAAAACAAAGGGACAGACATTGGGCGCTAGACCAGTGCCCTCAAAACAAGGGGGCAGATGTTGGGCCCTAGACCAGCACCCATAAGAGGCGCTCCTCCACTTTCCTAGACTTGCAGAGCAGAGGCCGCGGGTGGCGCAGCGGATAGTTGATCTCCACACTGGGCTTCCTGCAAAATTCCTCCTGCAGGGCAGGGGATGGATGGCTATGGGGACAGAAAGTGCCTCGGGGTGGGGGGCAGGACACGGTGCCAGAGGGCAGGAGAGCAGGGCTGAGAGGGGGTGCTAAGCGGGTGTCCTACACAGGACAGAGATAGGCTGGGCAGGCACTGCCTTCCTGTAGAGAGGCTGGGCCTGTGGACTGGGAGACCGTCCTCTTGAGATGCTGGGAGCAGAGGCTGTAGCTGGGGGGAGGATGTGGGGGAGCAGCAGGAAATGGGGAGGCAGGGAGCCCCATCTGAAGGGGGAGTCATTATGGGGGAGGCTGGCCCGGAAAGGGCCCCCCCACATCTTTTCAGCTGTCTTCTCAGCTCTCCCAAACAATGGCGCCCCAACATTCGTTCTCAGGCCCCGGGGAGGCCGTCTCTTAGCCTTAACCTCGTGCTCCAGAAGTCAAGTGCACCCTTCTGGACCAAGTCCTGGGGTCCACGCAATCTTCCTCAGGTGAACCTGAGCAGCGATGGCTGACGTGTCAGGTGGTCATAGGGGATACAACATGACCAAGAGCCAAAGGGGGCTAACCAGAGCAGGAGCCAGGACAACAGGGGCTGGTCCTGACTACCTGCAACTGCGCACCTGGCCACTCCCGATGGGGGCTCAGAGGAGGTTTCCGGTGCCCAGTGATGCCTGGAAAGGGGCACAGAAGGCAGTCCCCATCCCCGTGGGCCATCAACCTGTTCTAGCCCCACGTGGATCTGCCTTCACCCCAATTAGGAACTCATGGGCAGATGTAGGGCAGGAAGAGGTCAAACAGTGTGAGTATGGAGCAAGCTTAGGACGGACATCTAGAAGAACTGAGTCCCCAGACCCCACCACTCACAGGCATGGCCGGACTCCTGGGGCGGTGCTAGGGAGGAACCTCTACCTTGCGTCCGTCAGATTCATACGGAAATGAGGAGGAGAAGGAGAAAGGAGCATCCAGTTGGCTGTGGAATAATGGGAACTTCCTGGCCAGGGCTGTTGGGGTCACTGTCACCTGCCTAGAAGAATCTTCACATCAGTACCAGCACCCTCCCAAGACCTGCAGCCCTCCTCCTGCCATGTGCATTGCCAGGCTACAGAAAGCTAGTGACAGGCTGGGGAGGGACGGCTGAGCATCGAGGGACAAAAGGCTTTCTCTCTTCAGGAAGCATGAGAGAGGCCCTGAGGAACCAGGGGACAGTTGGAGAGAGAAGCACACGGGGCTTTAGAACGAGGTTGAGACAGAGATGGGTGGTGACAGGTGCTTTCCCCAGTCCTTCTCCTCTGCAGGGCCCGGCGGGGAGGGTCCTGACCCCCAGGGCCTCAGCCTGCCCTGCCCTCTGGGAAGTCAACGTGGTCAGTACGGACAAGGCAGTGGAGGACTGGGGCGTGGAGCGTCTCTGAAGCTGTGTGTGTGTTTATTTTGGGGTGCTGGGAGATGCTGGTAGAGAATATGGGGTGGCCCAAACCCCAAGCCAGTTCTTAGCATCACCCTTGGCCTGCGAGTATCTGTCCCCTGCTCCTCCACTGACCTCCTTCACCGGCATGTTTGCCATGCCCACGGACATAACCCTGTCCCCTTCCCAGGCCTGACTCAGAATAAGAAGGCCATCAAGGCCACCAACAACTTTAATTACAGCCCACGGCCATTACTGGTGGCAGACTCCCAGGGTTTCCAGAAGGATGATGTCTGGCCCTGGCACCCATCGTGGTGGACACTGCCGGCCCCATCTGGGCCCAAGCACAAAGCTGAGTACAGGGTCAGGCATCCTCCCTCCTAACGTGAAGCCTCTCTCTCCCTGGCTTCCTTCACACACCCTACCTCTCAGCCTCTCCCTAAGACGTGTGTGACACTGCGTGGTCTTCCCCTGGGTCGTCCCTTCCAGCAGACGGTATGTTTTCTGCCCACCACCCCCCTGCAGTCCAGGGCCATGTCTTCCTCTTCCATCTCCATCTGGAATTCCTAGGAAGCCCTGGAAGGGGGTCGTGTCCCAGAGTTGACAGAATGCACTGGGAGCAGCACAGAGGACTAAGAATGTTCTCATGGGACCATCTCCCCAGAGCACCATCACCTTGCTCAGCAAAGCATCTCAGCGGTCCTCCTCAGACAGGAAGTGTGGTCTTCCCCAGGGGGTGAGGGGCAGGGTGGGGAGGCTAAATTCCAGGGCTGCTATGGGCCCAGCCCCCAACCCAGCCAGACCAGGCTCCTCGATGGCCCAAAGGGGACCTGGGTGACCATTCCTGCCCAAGAGCAGACTACCCCACAATCACAAGCCCACCCTGTGCACCCTCATACCACAGTGGAACCCCATCCTGCCTGGATCTCTGAATCACAGGCCCTCTGGGTGATAGGAGGCCTCAGTGAGAGACTCTTATGTCCCTTCCTGCCAGGCTTGACCCCCCCAGGGACAGAGAAGCCACTGGACAGGCCTCCTAATGCCTGGGCTGCTGCCTTATTAAGATACGTGAACTTTGTTGTAACATCCCTGATGGGTGGGCATTGGACTCCTGGAAGACCCTGCATGAGACAGCCAGTGCTTATCCTCAGGCAAGAACCGGTCAGTGAGGGACAGACAGGTGGACACCCAAGGGCTCAAGTCTGCAGAGGGAAAATGTGTTCAGTGGACAGACGGGCCTTTATGATAAAGACTATGCCCTTGGGCCTGGGTCAAGACTTTGTTCTGCCCTTGCCAATTGTGTGATCTTGGACGCGGTTAAGGGACCCCCTCAGACTCAGCCCTTCTTCCTATAAAATGGGCCCATCCATCAGCCTGACTTGGTAAGGTGTTCAGTCCCCACAGCCTGTGAAGCTCCTCCTACAGCCTCAGTAAACACTGGCCGCTTTAATAATAATTAGTGTCAGTCGGAGGGGTTCCTAGGTGAAACCCTCCCCGTGCCCTGGGGTTTGTCCCGTATGGCCCTGTCATGGGCTCCGCTGTCCAGCGACTCTCTTCTAAACTCAGTGTCTGCCCCCTTCCATCTCCCTGACAGTGAGGTGTCCGGAGCTGCCCACAGCCCGAGTCGAGGCTGAGCCGCAGGGGACGCAGAGGGAGAGTCAGCCCCTGGTCCTGAGTGTCCTATGTGTCAGGTCCCTCCGGGCAGCTTGCCAGCTGCGTGCCCCCACATCACACCACAGCTGACCCCAACCGTGGCATCTCCACGGATGCTAGTGAGCACGGCCGCCCTCCACGCCTGGGCTCAGGCACTCGGGGAGCTGGGGAGCGTCTCGACAACCTCACTTCAGCCCTCCTCCCAGCCTGGCTTTCTCGGGGTTCAGATCCTGTGGGTTGCTGTGTTATTTGTGAAATGCTCCCTCAGATGGGATAACGCTGCCTTACTCATCCTGATAAAGAGACCTGGTGGTGCAGTGGTTAAGCACTGGCTGTTGATAGAAAGGTCGGCGGTTCCAACCCACCATCGGGAGAAGGATGAGGCAGTCTGCTTCCATGAAGATGACAGGTTTGGAAAGCCTGTGGGGCAGTTCTGTTCCATCCTACAGGGTTGCCGGGAGTCAGAGTCGACTAGCCAGCCACGGCTCACTTTGTTTTTCATCCTTATGCGAGTGAGTCATGAAGCAGACATACAGGGAGATCACAGCTCAGCGTCTAAACATGACTCTAAATTGCAAGATGGCGGCCAAGGTCAGCCTGAAGCCCAGGGCACCTCATGGTAGTAGTTCTGCAGCTTCTACATCTTCCTCTGGGGACTGAGAGGATTGGGTCAAATGGGCCCTGCAGAACCTTCCAGCCCTGCCCCCAGAACCAGGGACCAGGGCATCAGAGGACAGTCGCTCGGGGGCCTCAGGCCTCCCAGCCCCCCATCATGCCATCCTGTGACACCATCTCCCAGTAGACCTGAGTCCCCGGGGGACATCTCGGACCCTAGACCCACGTGAGCAAGGGGCCCCCAGCCCCGGCACCCCCTTCTCCCAGGAAGGAGGAAGAGGACTCAGAACGAGAGGGCCTGCCTCACGGGGTGGGGGCAGCGGATGCAGGTCGGTCTCCTGGTTGCTGGCGTGGAGAAGGGCTCTGCAGCCACCGGCTGTTATCTGTGACACCATCAGCTCCACTAACGGCAGCCACCTGCCTCTTTGGGCGTCACAACAGGATGCGGTTTGACATTTGTGAGGCTGCCCCGCCCCCTCCACACCGCTTCCTGCCCACTTCATCCACTGTTCTTTCTCCCGGGGCCTGGCTGCACCCCTGGAGGTGCAGACAGAACCTCAGCAGGAGGGGGAGGGCCCCTGCGGGGTAGATGCCTGAGTCCCACCTGCAGCCCCTCCTCCCAGGCGACCCCTGCTGGAGGTGCTACCCAAGCTCAGAGGGGCCCCACCCGCAGGCCCAGCCAACCCCCATGTGACCCCTATCAGAGGGGCTGCACTGTGGGGAGAGAAGGGGTTCAGAGCGGCTGCCTAACCGCTCTGACTCCAGGGGGCCTACAGGTCCCACATCACTGGGGTACCGCCCCCACTCCCTGCCATCTCCCTGCACACATGCCCCACTTCCTTCCACTCATAACGAGAAGAGCTCGTGAGTCACGGGAAGGAGTCCCAGAGCATCACCAAGCTGAGAACGGGGTCGACTGGGACTTCTCAGCAGGGTGTCCGCGCCCACCCCCATTGCCGGCCTGACAGTGCTTCCCACACCCCCTGCTGGCCCCCCGCCTACCACATCCGGGGGGGGAGGGGGAACAGACCCCCAGGGAGGCAAGACCCCCAGGAGGGTGCTGAGACCGCTCAGGGTCCCCCAGCAGCTGCGTCCACTCATCCCAGTGCTTGCCACCCTTCAGCTCCGGGGAAACCACCACGACAACACCCGCCTCAGTGCCGCCTCTTCTCGGCCCTGGCTTCCCCACCGTCCTCGAGCTGTCCGAAGCCATGGTCTCTCCCTGCGAATCCGGGAGGGACAGAGCCCTGTGGGGGCCACGTTACGGCAGTGGGTTCCGCTGGCCATCTGCCTGTGGCCCTGGGTCTTCCATGTGTGGGCATGTGGGGCCCTGGGGGTGAGGGGCGGGACCAGTGACCTGCTTCACCTGCAGAGCCAGAGATGGGGGCCTGGCAGCTCCCCGAGAAAAGGCACAGCCCCACACGCGGGTCCCAGGGGCCTAAAGGGGCAAACGAGAGGGCACTTTGGAGCAGCATCTGTCACTCGAGCTGCTGTCCTTCGTCCCTGGATTTGATGTGAGCACAGACACAGGGGAAGGGGACCGACTTGTGCTGATGACGACATGCTTTTCAAGCCTGTCCCACCTGTCAGGGCTGCTGTCTGTCATCTGCCGTCCCCTGCAATGGCCTGGGGCCTCCTCACTGCCTGACAGCCTACTGCCCTCACAGAGCCTCCACCTTCCACTCCCGGCCGGGCATCTAAGTAAAAACTCTCACGATGGCTCGCTGTGCGTCAGAGGGCAGCCAGCTCTCGGGGCTTTCCAGAGCTGAACGTTTGGCGCTAGATTGCCAGGCCTTCCTGCAGAGGCACTCTGGGTGGATGCAAACCTCCCACCTTTGGGTTAGCAGTCAAGTGCATCACCTCAATACTGGCCTTCCAAAAAGCTAACCCTGGCTGGATTCCACCTCCTCTGTGATATTTTCCAGAATGTCTTACAGGAATGAGAACTGTTTCAACCCTCCTAGCAGATCCAACTGACGAGTGATTGCCTGCAACACTCTGTGTTAAGAAAGATCCTGAGGCTGCAAAAGGCCCACTGGTTATCAATATTGCAAGGGACACACGCAGGACACAATTTCATGACTTTGTTATCCAAGTACACTCAGCATTTATTACTATTTATTGCATAGTTTATAACCTTCCATTTTTAAAATAGTTGTTCCATTTGGGTAAGATGGAATCTAAATACGTTGAAAGCGTAAAGGAAGACAAGATCGTAACAACTGTTGAAAGAGCCTAGAGTTGTTATTGGGACAGCCAACTTCATTCTGACTCACAGGGCCCCTAGAGGACAGAGTGGAACTGCCCACAGGGTCTCCAAGGCTGTCAATCTCCACAGAAGCAAAGCCCAAACCACACCCACTGCCCTGGAGTCCATTCTGACCCACAGCGCCCCTAGAGGACAGAGTGGAACTGCCCACAGGGTCTCCAAGGCTGTCAATCTTCACAGAAGCAAAGCCCAAACCACATCCACTGCCCTGGAGTCCATTCTGACCCACAGCGCCCCTAGAGGACAGAGTGGAACTGCCTCACAGGGTTTCAAGGCTGTCATCTTCATGGAAGCGGACTGCCTCATTTTTCCACTGCAGAGCGGCTGTTGGATTCGAAGTGTCAACCTTCAGGTTAGCACCTGAGCCCCTAACAACTGTGCCACCAGGGCTCCTTAGACCCTGAAATAAGACTTTATAAACACCCTCTCGTTTAATACATGTAATCCAGCAAGGGAAGTTTTACAGGGGAGGAAATGAGAGCCAGAGAGAGCCAGTAACCAGCCCAAAGTCATAACAGCTGGTAAATTTGGACTTCAACCCAGGCGGCCCGGCTGCAGCATGCCAATGGCTACCAGCAGCACCTCCCAGAGCCGGCGGCATTTTCCTTCTTGGTCGCGGGGGTACTAACCATGGCCAGCACAGGAGGGCTGTTCCCTGGGCAGCTGACCCAAGTGCAGCAGGGGCCCTTGGGCCTGTAGCGGAGTCCCTTGGTCACTTTGTGCCCCAGTTCCCTCTGCAGGCTCACTGATGGGAGACATAAACACTTGTCTCAGCGCTCCCCGTTAGGGAACAGAGAGCATTTCAAGGCCGCTGGTGCCCCCTGCTGGACGGTAGGGGCCATTACAGAGGAAAGCCCATCTTAGATCAAGGACAGGAGGAAAAAGGCAGCTGAGGGAGCAGGCCACTCGGTTGCCAAGGCAACCGTGCCCCTCCCCAGCCACTCACTCCAGCCTCCCCTGCCCCTTCCTTCCCTTGCAGCCCCCCTTTCTCTGTCTCCGTCCGCCTCTCCACGCCTTCTCTCTCTGTGAGAGAAGGGTCGAGAAGAGAGGTGAGCTGGAGAACCAAGCCCGCCGGCCCAAACCATCCTCCGAAGCCCTGAGTGTGTGCGCGGGACAGTAAGTGCACCGCGAGCCTCACAACCGCCCTTCCCGGGGCCAAGTCTGCGCCGGATTTCCGCCCGGGCTTGGGAAGCCCCCCGCCACCAGCAGGAGGCAGCTGCGTACCTCGGGCGTCCGCATCCCCACGCCCCTGCCCGCCCCCGCCGCCGACGCTCCTCGCTCCCTTCCCCCTCCGGGTGTAGACAGGCAGGACTGGAGGTGAACGGAGGGTAGACCGGGTGGCTGCGGGCCGGAGGTGACTGGCAGGGACTAGATGTCTTGGCGACTCGTTCCCTGCCCGCCCGGTCAAAGGCCCTCACTGGGCCGGCCGGAGTCGGAGCAGGTCCCAGAGCCCCTGGGGGCGCGGCGGGGCGCCTGCGGGCGGCGTGAGGCCCGAGGTGGGTTTTTGCAAGGCCGCCCGCGCCGCCCGCGCAGTGTGCGTCCCAGGCGCAGAGATAGACGCCGGAGTCCCCGGGCCGCAGCCCCGGGGCGCTCAGGGTGAACTCGCCGTCCTGGGGCCGGGATGCCGAGAGGTTCCCGGGGCTCTCGGCCTTTACGTCGCCCTTAACGATGGAGTAGAAGAGCAACTGGGGGGCTCCGCCCGCGGCCTGGCGGTACCAGTACAGGCTGGGGTTCGACGTCCCTGTGACGGTGCACCTCAGCAACAGGGGGCTGCCCACACGCCGCACCCCGACCGCTGGCCACTGGCTAATGGCCTGCGCATCTG